TTTTCTGATGGATTGAGTTAGCTGTGTGGCTCAAGCCTATAATTACTCTTAAATGCTGCATATTAGCACTAAGTGCCACAGAGGTGGCATCAGCACCTGATGATCAATGAGGGCTTTGCTCCATCTCTGGAGTTGGGAGGTTTTTGGGGGGCAACCAGTGCCATTCCTTCCCAGTGCAGCTGATTCAGTAGCTCTTCAGCTTCTTCTGTCTTCTGTCTCCTTTCCCTGCATTTTGCCAGTAATTTAGCTTTTGCTCTAGAAACTGACATTTCATGTAGCTGGTGGATGTCTTGATGTTACCAGGGAAGGAGAGGTAGGGCAGTTGTAAAACTGAGTTTTTCCTGCTGTGCAATCCTTTTATTCCCAATGCTTTTCTTGTCTTGCTCTCCCTGCAGGAAATGAGCTGTAGCTCTGACCAGGCTCTCCACCATTCTCTATATCCACCCAGCCACTGCACAAAGTCATTTTGCTTTGGTATTTCAGCGCTTGTCCTTCCTTTGTGCCTTTTTAAAATTTGGGACTGCAACACTAAATTTCCTAGGGTGGTTTTGAACTGAGGGTGAGGCTGTAGCCAGCTCCCGGTCCAGGTTCAGAGTGGGAGAATTAAGAGTAACTAGTTGTTTGAGGTTTTTACCTGTGTTTCCCCAACTTTGTATTCTGTTTCATGTGTTCTGGTTCATTTGCTGAAAACAGATTTTTGTTTTGAAAGAAAAACAAAAAAAGCATCTCACATGGAAAACAGGAGTTTAAAATGTTCAATGGAAGGTAAATTGCTACTGAATTTCTTTCCTTTCTTCTCATCTGTATCCAGCCCAGTCCTTCAATATCCCCCATACCTAGCACAGCCAATCTGGAGTGGTTAAGGGAATTTCCTGCTTCTAGATCACCAGTTAACTGTTGAACAGAAGATGGTCTGGTTAGGGAGGAACAAGACTAATGCATTTTAGCTCAGATAAAAAAATGGACTATTGTTTTAAGTTAGATTTTCAAAGGGTTGAAACTAGTAAAAATAATTTGCTTCTTTCAATAAGCAGCACTTTATGGTGGAAAGATCATAACTTATGTTTCTTATCTTTTTATCACCAGTAGGATTTTGATATATTACCATTTATCTCTGGACTGGAAAAGTTCATTGCTATTCCTTTTCTCTCCAAATTAGCATAAATTAATTACTCTTCCCAGAAATGACTGTGGAGAGAATAAAAATGTCTTTTGGTAACTGGTCAGACTTTGACAAAAACCCAAAAGTGAGTGTAGCTTTAAATGCAGGGAGAAGAGACAAAGCAGGACCCAGTCATAGATGCCAAACAATAAAGCCTTTAACATGTCTTTGGGATTTTGAGGGGACTGTACTGCTGACCTCTCATTCCTGCATATTTTCTACTGGCAGCATGGCAGCTTTTTCCTTCTTTCTGCTCTTAGAAACCCATCCCATGAAGTAGCAACAGGAGGACCAAAGTAACACCACACACTGAACGAATGGCTTTGCATGGGAGGGTGGTTGAAGCTCTAAGCTGGTGCTCCTGGGGGGAAAAATGGTCCAAGGCCCCTTCAGGCTCCTGATCTGGCTGGGCCAGCTGAAAACATTGCTGCCACTCAGCAGGAGTACAGCTGTCATGGAAGAGGGGTTGTCACAACCCCAAGTTGGCTGTTTGCTCCCTTGCATGGGCTGCTGGGACAGCTCTGGCATGGCAATGGTGCTAAACACATAAGCAAGTTAGAATGGCTTTGTTTGGCCACTGTTTGTAAAATAAACCCTAGTGCACAGCCTAAATCCAGCTGCAGGCCACCAGCTTGCTGCTGCATGTAGCTCCTGAAGGTGTTCAGGCTTCTGGGGAGGTTTTGGTGATGTGTTTGCAATGGGACTTCATGATGAAGATGGGTTTGCAGAGCCTCCTTTTCACTGCAGCATGGACAGTGCTTGTCACACCCACACAGAGCTGCCACTCTGCTGTGTCTGTGTCACACTGGAGGCTTCACCCATGGTATGAAGTGCTCAGTGCAGGCAGAGTGAATCCCTGGCAAATGTCCCTGCTCTGGAGCCAGAAGTCTTGGGCAGAGCCTCTGTCTCCTCACAGTCACACTGGTTCTGTCTGAGCTTCACCATGACTTGGATACAGAAGCCTTACCCCTGCAGGAGGAGGAGGAGATGTTCAGAGTTGCTGCCTGGGGGATGAGCACCCTTCTTGCAGGGTGCTGTGAGTGCAGTGGCCCCACTTCTGCAGGTGTGAGGTGTGACCAAGAATAATGGTGGCATGGCTCACTTTGTGTATTAACAAAAGGAACACCTGATTAGCAAAATGGAAATTACCTTTGGATCTAATAAGTGTAATTATTGAGTAATCCACTGGAGCATATAATGAGGTGGGAATATTTTTAGCTTGCAAGTTCTCTGCAGTCCCCCAGTGCTGTACTCCCAGCAAAGAGCACTTAGGCAGCACTGATGGCCTGTAGCTTTTAAGAAATTACTGTGATGCATCTTTAAATCTGGCAGCTTTATTAAAAAGGGAGGTGTGGGGGATGCTATTATCTGAACATAGCTGGGTTAGGAGAGACTGTGCATTTCAGAAGGGTCCCAGTGCACTGTGAGGCTTGTGGGCTTGAGCAGTGCAGCCAAATGCCAGAGATGCTGAGATTTGTCTGGGGCATTTTGAGCGGCAGTTCCCTGATCTGGGTAGTGGGGCTGGGCTCATCCAGTGCTGACACGGGCACTGCCTGGCCACACTGTGTGCAGTAAGAGCAGGACAAGGAGCCTTTGTCCAAGTCCTGAAGGAGGCTGCAGCACAGAAACCAGTTGAGCTTCACCGTGCCTTAGCCTCACTTTTGCTGCTTGGCTGACTGGTAAAAAAAAGGGAGAGGAAAACAGTAAATTTTTTTGTGGAATAGATTTTAAAAATACAAACACAAATGTCCAGGAAATCCCACTCATGTTTGCTGATTTCCATTTTCAAGCAGAATTTCAGAGCAGCTGCCCCTGTTGCTGTGTAGTATCCCAGAGCACACCAAGCCCTGGAAAAGCAGAACCTTTGGGCCTGTGTCAGCACAAGCACCTCCTCATCATCCTTTTTTAAAATACTTCTGCATAACAAATACTAATTAATATTATTTATGAGGGCAAAACAGAGATGACACTGGCACCATGACCTGTGGTTAGATATTTCACGCTGCAGTTTGTGACCTACATGACAAACATTATCTTTTGCTCCTACTAAAAACTTCCCTTTGCGAGGTTTCCCCCCTCCCCACCCCAACTAAGTTTGCACTTTGAAGAATGCTTTTTAAAATTCAGATGAAGATGTTCAAAGCCGGGTGATGAGAGCTCTGCCAGCCAAGCTTGGATTGTTGTTTCACGGTGATGAAGATGGTTTTTTCATAGAATCAAAATCACAGAATCAAGGAGGTTGAAAAAAAACCTTTGAGATTCGTGGAATCCAACCTTTGACCAAACACCACCTTGTCAACCAGGCCATGGCACTGAGTGCCACTTTGAACACCTCCAGGGAAGGTGACTCCATCACCTCCTGGGCAGTTAATTCCAATGTTAACAACCCTTTCTATGAAAAAATTCCTCCTGATATCCAACCTGTTTCCATTGCAAATGCCTGTTTATCAGCAAAGGAGGAATGTAGAGAAGTGAAAAATGTGCACTTCCCAAGCACTTAGAAAACACCATTAAAGAAAAAAAGAAGAGGTGTAAAAACCACTTATCTGGATTCATTTCCATATTTGCAGAATTTTCTGTGGGAATGCTTTTTGCAGCATTTGGCCAGCTCATGCTATGAATTAGCTGAGCCCTTTGCCTGCTCCCAGCCTGCAGAGTGAGGCTGTGCTGCCCCTTTCTTTCTTTCTGAGCGGACATTTCAAAAGCTGGTGTCTTATTCCAGCCTCTCCAGAGTGGAGTGGGAATGCAGAGCTCGGAACACCTGCTTCCCACACCGGCAGCGCTGAATGGCTGAGGAGCACACGGCTGCTGAGCCTTTGTTTGGGGCTTTCTTTTAACTACAAGGAGTAATCGGAGTTGGCTGTTAAATAAATGAGTTTGGTTGGAAGATAAGCCCGGACACCTGAGGTCTCGCATTCCCGGCAGAGCTGGCAAGCTCCAAAGGGCTTTTTCAACAAGCATCACTGGAAAGTCGCTATTATGTGTGAGCTTTACACTCAAACACCTTTGGACAATGAAGGCACCAGAGGACACTGCTGCTCCCAATTGTCAGCAGCAGAATAAATCCCTGCTTCCTGCAGCGTTTCCCTCCGCTGGCCGCGAGGCCAATGCAGAGTGCAGAGCTTTGCAGAGGCACAAAAGGTCTCTCAATAGAGCAGGGGTCAAACTGCGGGTTCCTCCTTTCACAACGGCCCCTGATCTCTGATGCAGAGCCCTACACGACCCCTTTCGGAAACGGAGAAAGGGCGACATTGTGCTGCTGAAGGGAAGGAGGGAGGGAGGAGGAGGGAATCCCAGCTCCGCTCCTGAAATGAACTTGGGCTGATGTTTTCAGGGCTCCCTACAGCAGAATTTTAGGTCTCCAGCTCCCAGTGGGACTAATGGGAGCTCTTGCCCAAAATCTCTCTGCCATCCTGGCTGTACAGCATCTCTCCGAGGGGAATCCAGCTATCTGCAGCTGACTGTGGGTTCTGCTGGCTGGACAATTGATCCCCTGTGTGAGTCAGGGGGGATATGCTGGTCCAGGGGCTTTTGGGAGACAGTGAGGTGTTCAAGCCCTGCAAAATGCCTGACTGCATCACCCTGGCATGGAGTCTTCAATACCCTGGATCCCAGCTACCATCACTACCACCACTTCTCCATGTGGTCCAGGAAGCTTTCACACATCATCCCCCTCCAGTTTTTCTACACAGAAAGGATGGGGCAGCCTGGTTCTGAGAAATGCACCCAGGGGAGCCTGAACTTGGCCATTGCATTCCCCATCTGTTAAGTACATCCACACAATGATATTTCAGTACGTGTCTTAAAACAATGATTTCCTTCTCTCTTATTGTTTCAGGTTCTTTGGATTCCTCATGCAGATTAAGGAGTGTCCCTGTAGAGCTGAAACACAGCAGCAAAGCTTCTGGGGCGAATCAGATCCCATCTCCCTGCAGAGCACCAGCAATGGAAGAATAGCACTGGGCTGGCATTGCATCTTTGCTTTGCAGCCAGGAGCCTGGGGAAAGAAAGGATCCAGCTTGTCCACCTTTTAAAGGCTGCAAGGAGGGAAGGGAAGACCCACCAGAAGCTCACAGAAAACTGCCACCCATCTCCAGCTTTTCTTTCCGAGCGATAAACTCCTCTGATCTCTGCTGTGCAGAAAGCAGCATGTGGGGGATTCTGGTGCCAGCAGCACTTTTTGCTGGAAACCAGGATGTTTCTGTAATGAGGAAAGAAACATTCTTGAGTATGAAGTTATCAAACAACTTGACAAATTCAGATGCACTAAATCACCCAGTGTAAACATCTGTCTGGCCTGCTTTCGTGTGCCTACAGCGAGGGCGGCTTATCCGCCTCTTGGTGAGATGCAATATCTGTCCTCTGCTGCTATTTTTAGCTTGTATTTATTTGGAGGAGACTGGTACAATAATCTCATCAGGCCTGACTTGCCTTTAATTCCCCTTAAGACTGTTTGGGGAAGATGGGCAGTTAAAGCACTGCTGTGGTTGAAGGCCTTGTGCATGCTGTGATGTGAAAGCCCCATGTGTGGTTCCCTGTGAACACTGGAGCTGTTGTTCCCTGGATCGTTGGTGCTTGGCTGTATTAGTGACTTGCTTTCTGATGTTGGGGCAAATGACTTCACTTCTTCATTTCCTGTTTACTTTTTTTTTTTTTTTCCTACTGGCAAAATTGGCTGTTACTGAGTTTTCCTGGCCCTCATCTTGGGGTGTAGCAGAGAGAGACATGGCTGGGGTCTGTTAAAAAGCAGATATATTCAAGCAGAATCCCACTGACCTCACTCAGACTGCTCACATGTTTTAAATTAAGTGCATCCTTAAATATTTTCAGGAATTGGAGCTGGATTAGTTTAGGCTTGAATACATGAAGAAATGCATATGCATTTGGGACCAGAAGGGAACCTGAATGTTTTAAACCCATTAAATGTAGAAGTACAATATTGTGTGTTGGCTTAGGAGCAGGGAAACCAATTTTGAAGTCAGTATTCCCTGTTGCTGAGAGGAGGGGATGCACGGGAGGGGAGCAGAGCTCTTTGGAAAAAGGCAATCACCACCCTTCATGCAAGCAAACCTGGTCGCAGAGAGGGCTTGGTGCAGACTCTGATGACCACTGATAGGACCTGAGGGAATGGCCTGAAGCTGAGTCAGAGGAGGTTTAGGTTGGATATCAGGAGAAGGTTCTTCCCCCAGACAGTGTTTGGGCACCAGAACACACTCCCCACAGCACCAAGCCTGACAGAGTTCAAGGAATGTTCAGAGAAGGCTCTCAGGGACATGGTGGGATTCTTGGCTTGTCCAGTACTGGGCCAGGAGTTGGAATCAAGGATCCCTGAGGGTCCTTTCCAGCTCAGGATATTCTACAATTTAAGTGTGTTTGCTTTGCATTTCCTGTCTCTGTGCCACGATGCACAGCTTAGGCAGGGAGCCCCACCTGTGGGAGCTGCGCCTTTATGGCTTCCCTGCTCCCCCCTTAGGACAGCATCATGGAGGTAGATTTGTAGTTCATACTGAAGGAAAATCTAAAGACAGATCCTTAGAAAGTTTCCTGCACCAAGATTTTTACCTACGTATTTTCCCATTGAGGACTCTGTTTCATGAAAAGACATTTTATTTGGGGGAAAACCTTTAGCTGTTTCTTTTGTTTGGCATCAAAGCCAGCTTAGAGGAGACTCTTTTTTTCTTTAATAGCAGCCAGCTGCATTAGCAGTCTTGAACCATGTTCTTCCTTCTGCTTTGAATATAAAGCCTATAGCAAGGGAAAATTAGTTTTTCGTCTTGGCAATAAAAAGTGTCTTCAGCTGCCAGTAGTGGAACTTGCCCATTTACTTGCAGGAGAAAGTTAAAATAAGCACTAATGAAGAAGAAGAAAAGCAAATCCAGCATTTCAGGTCTGTGTTCCCTAGTTCCTATGAATAGGCATATACTGCTTGCAGCAATTATAGTGATGGGCTGGAAATCCACTGGGTGTTGCTTGTGCAGGTATAAATTCTGCTGGCTGTGAGCCACTTCTATCAGTTTATCTGCTGCAGTGAAATGGTTTAAAATTCACTTCTGGATCCTGAGGCAATGCTCGTGTCCTTGCTTTGGCTTTTACATGTAACAGCAGAGCGTGCTTTGGCTTTTCTTTTCTTTAAAAAAAGAAAAGTGAAGAAAAGAAGAAGAGGAAGAGAAGAAAGTATTTTATTTGCTCCAGGAAGGCTCTCCTGCAAACCTGAATGGAATATAATAAATGCCACTTGGGTCTCCAGCTATAAAAGAGAGCTTCTCCTGTTGATGGATTTAATGCCTTGTTCAGGGGCTAATTCTGCACGAGCCCTGCAGTGCCCACAGCCAACATCCCAGAGGCCAGGCAGCCTCTTTTCTGAGCCAGCCACCACTGGGAAATGGGTGGCTCCCCTTAGATTTGCTCTCTTGCATGAGCTCTTCATGGCCTCCAGTCACAGATCACAGCGCTTTTGGGTTTTGGCTGGTTCTTAAAGGATGTCCCGGGCAGGCTGAGCAGACACAGAGTCTGTGGTTTTCTCTCTTCCTGAGTTCAAGTCCTGTAAAGTGGGAGTCCGGGAAAGAAATCAGCCTTTGTAAACTTTTAGTTCACAACTGTTGCTGGGTCTTGTATCTGTCTGCTCGTCCCAGTGCCTGTCATCACACAGCTGCCACAACCCTGTATTTATCTTGCTCCTTTTCTTTCTTCCTCAGTCCCTGGGCTTTCCCCCCTCTCCATAGTCTGCCTTGCTGCTGATTTCTGCTCCTATTCTTCTCTCCCCTTTGGTCTCTCCTTTACTCTGCACTTCTTTTTTCTTGCCTGTACATTTGTTCACCACCTGTGCTTGCCCAGGCTTGTGGCAAGAGCAGAGCAGCCTTCCCTTGGCTCCCTTGAAACCTCCCAGGGGCATTCCCGGCGTCTGCAGGAGGGAAGCGAGCCATGAGACAGAAACGTGCTGTGCTCCTGTGTTCAGAGCACAGCAAAAAACCTCAAAGACCTGTTCAGAAAACAAAATTCAAACTCGTCTTTCCTTTGAGTTTTAATTTCCCAAGCAGTGCTGGATATCCTGGGATTTCCCACAGAGCTGGCCTGGTTGCATTGCCACCCATTTGGGGAGTGGGGATAGATGCTGGGCACAGGGACACCAGGGAGCAAAGCTGCTGAGCCCAGGGGTGCTGTGGCTTCAGGGGGAATTTTGGCATCCACTCTTGCCTTCTTGGGGTGCATAGAGTTGGAACTAATGGTCTGCTGAGCTGCCCTTTTTTTCCTGAGAGCTACTCTGTTGGGCTGTGATCCAGCTGCAGCGCCCTGCCCAGCAAACCCAGGGGGGATTGGGAGCATCCATTTCTGCCCCAGGTCTGTGTCTGCATGGTTAAGACTTTGTTCAAAAGAATCCCATGTGTGTGCATGAAGGAATGAACATAAAACCATTTTCTCTGCCATTTTCCTGCATCCTCACCTCCCTACTTAGTGTTTCCAAAGATATCTTTGCATCTGCTCACAGACCATCTCAGGAGTGATTTTTGGAGATGAACAGGCTTTGCTGCTTCTACATCAACTAAAGTTCCCTGTGGCATCCTGGATTTGTTTAAACCTGAAGTTCCAGAAGGGCAAAACTGTGGGAGAAGGCTGTTGAAACATGTACAAACTGGCAAGGAAAACATACTCCATCTTACTGAGAAGACCAAAGGTTTCCTATGTCTTAGAATTATCCCTCACTTTTGTAAGGGTTTGAGTGCAGACTCAGAACCCTAACTTGAGAAATTCATGTCTCTTAGTTATTTTATTTATAAAGAGCAGAAGCTTCTGTGTCATGCTAAATAATTTTTGACCTTTGAAAATTAGAAGTTGAGATGTGATCCAGCCCTGTAGTTACAGTACTGAACTTGGGATTAAACTTGGATTTTTCATAGATATTCAGGTATTAAATCTTTTGCTATGTGCATGTGCAGTTTGTAGGAAGGTTTGCAAAACAAGGTAATACACAATCTGGTGCGGTATTTGGTCAGAAAGCAGCCCTACAATTCTCCTTTAAGTATGGATGAGTCATGGCTTCTGTAAACTTAGGAAAAATTAATTCTGATTGTAAACTGAAATATCTATCTAAGAAATGGGAATTTTTTGTTATCTGGAACCTCATGTCAAAAGGCAAACACTGTACCAGTTTTGGCCAGTGGCTGCTCAAAGAAAACATGGAGCAGAGCAGCATGTGAGCCTGCAGAGCTGCTACTGTCCCTGGCAGGCAATGAAGATTTCTCTTTCAGGAGAAAAGTTTTGATAGCCAACAGCTTCTAAGGTTTTCATAGTACCTATGCCAAACCTTAATTGGTTGTTTTAATCAAGTGCCTCTTGGTTTTTGGCTTCGTGAAGTTTCTTGTTAAGTATAAGAATTTCCCAGTGATCTGACTTGATCTTTGGAGATGAGAGTATATATTTTTATGCATGTGTGTATATATATATGTGTGTGTATATATATATAAACACACGAATACATATGCTGCTTAATGTTGTCTTTTTCTGTCTCAGAAAGTCTTGCACTGAGATGCATGGCGTGTAGAGGCATTAAAAACACCCATGGATATCTCTTGTTGGTTTTGGAAGGTTTTTATAGCAACATATCTAATTCACATTACCTTGAGCCTCCTCCAAAAGGGCTAATGCAAAATGTCAGTGGAAGAAACCACTAATGCTCTTCAGCTCTTGCAGGGATTTGATGAGGTAAAGGGCCTTCTTTTTCACATATCATCTTTGCCTTAGCTGTGTGTTTCCTGTTAAACACATGGGGTGTATTCTCAACAGATGGAAGTTAAAAACCAAGAAATCACCCCCAGTGCTGCCTTATGAATGTCATTATGACTTTTCACAAGGGCATGTAGTGACAGGACAAGGGGAATGGCTTTCAGAAACCTGGTCTGATGGAAGGTTCCCTGCCCGTACCAGAGGTTGGAACAAGATGATCTTGAAGGTCCCCTCGAACTCAAACCATTCTGTGATTATGAATCTTGTGATTTTTTTCAGTGGTTGGTCTCTGGAAGGGCAGAAGGTGTGGGTCTGGCCCTTCTCTTTTGCTCAAACTCCTCTCTCTGAAAGCTAGCCTGTTTCTAACCAGTGAAATGAGGGAGGTCAAAACTGGAATAGAACTGTGTGATGGTGACAAGGCAATAACTGTAACTGTGTTTGCATGTTAGAAACCATGGCCAAAACTCAAATTATTGCCCACAGCATTACCCTGGCTGCTTGGCTGGGCACACAGTGTGTCAGCTGAATTGAAGAGCAGGCAAAGATGTGTTGTGAGGTGATGTGACAGCTGTAATGGCTGTAGATGGGGAAACCCTTGAGAAAGCTGGTACACTGTATGTGTGTGGTCTCCTCAATGTGCCTTTCTCATGTGGATGGGTGTACAAACAATCAGTTTGAACTCCAGGGTCAGCTTAAAGGTCTTGTGATGACCCAGTCTGTGTTGAGCTGCAGGAGGAATTGGTTCAGATTATGTCTGGAGGGGAGGCAAAATAATCCCAAAGGATTTTTAATGGTGGTGGCTTGGAGTTTTATACCTAGTTTGTCTTCTGGAGGAAAAATCTGGGGGTTTCCATAAAACCCCCATTTTGATAGCAAATATTTAATTTATTACTGGAAATTGGGCCATGAACTTTTGAGGCTGGGGAAAACACTAATTTCTGCATCTTTCTGAATAATCATGACTGCCTCTCTGAGGTTATCTCAAAATTGTGCTTTTCTTTGTCCATAATCTGGACATTTCCCTTCATCCTTTCTGGAAATCAGCCTCCTATGATGCACTGCACTTTCTGCTGGAGGGCTTAGGTCCACACAACCCTCCACTTCATTGATAATAGCCATGATTTTCGAGCTAGATGAGTTCTTGATTAAATTAAAAGGGATGCCTGTACTCGACTGGATGTTAGCTATTTGCTTCCAAGGGTAATTAGTCATGGGTTTAAATAGAGGGAAATAATTGATGTACACATAGAGTGGAAGCACTTTTCTGCCATTATGGTCTGAAAACATATTTATTTGTTCATTCTGTCTGAATGTGAAGTAGCTCTTCTGTTAGCATGGATAAATGAGTAGGCATTTTTACGTAAGATTGTTCTGGGTCTTATTAGAAGTTATTTTTTAATTTCAGGAAGAGTGGGTAAGAGCAAATTACTTGAATTGTTCATACTCAGAAAAGGAAAACAAAGGTAGTTTCCTGAAGAGTTAAAATGTATTGCTGACATAGTGGTTTTGGCATTGGCATCATGTGGCAAGT